GGGGGGGGGGGGTGTTAGACACCACTAGGTGGGTGCACCTCCCCCCCTTGTACCCTCACGATAGATCCAACCCTTGTCAGCCAAAAGTTTTGTTATGTTCTTGAAATGAAAAGTCAAGTTCGAGACTTGAAATGAAATGAAAAGTCAAGTGCAATTCACCCTATATAATATAAAATATACTCTGTGTTTATTTTTAGTTTATAGCCTCACATTCAGAAGATCGTGAATCAGAATTGCCCCATCAAAAATACACTGCTGACAGCAACAGATTCTCACTCACATTAAACCGTATGAATGTTTCCACCAATAGCACAAGATTCGCCGTTGAAATAAACTACATCGTTGACGAGGGTTATAAGCCCGACATTACGACGGAAAAAAACTTCGATGACGAATATACGCCTGCTGTTTTTAAAACTGTTTATGGTAAAGTTGGGGGCAAATATGGCAAGGCATATTCACAATGGAAACCTATTGCATATACCAAAGCTGAGCTTGGAAGAAAGTATCAAACTAAAGCTTTGGAAGGTGGTGTTGAGAATGTTGTTAATAGGTCTTGGAATATCGGTGAGGTCGCAATGCATGAACTCTATAAAATATATGGTTTGAATGTGTCGTTTGGTTTAGCTAAGGATGGATTTTATCAGAAGCATAAATATTTGATATGGTAAGAGATAGGTTATGGTTATCACCACTACCATGGTGACATTATCTTCTTCATAATCATGATCATGATGGTCCATCACCATTGCTACAACCTCTACCAGCACCACCACCATTACCAGCACCACTATCTTCTTTAGGGGCGGACCATTAAAAAAGTGATGGGGGGGGGTCCATTTTCCAACGTGCACGATTATTTTTTCAAAATTTTTTGCAGTGTCGATTTTTTTTTTATAATCCCTTTCTTGATTTTTTTCCCCAAAAAATTGTTGGCGAGCAGGGGCTTTCTGGACTAAAAATTTTTTCAGGACAAAGAAAAAAAAGGGTCAAAAAATGTTTTCCAGACTAATATCACCTTAGTTAGGGTTTGAAACTCATTTTCCCGGAAAAAACTTCTTAAAACATGATTAAAACACTTTTTTGCACCAATATCCGCTACATTTAGGTTTAGAAAATTTTATCACACCATTACTTATATAAAAAAAGTTCAAAATTATTTTCCTTTTATTTTCCTTACACTGTACCTCAGATAGGCCCTGCCAACTTATAATTTTCCCTATTGAAAAGTCTCTGCACGAATTTTTTTTTTTTGTTTCCCCTGCTCCGATTTTTATTTTTGCTTTTGCCCCCCCCCCCCTCCCCATCACTTTTTCTAATGGTCCGCCCCTTATGAAACCATTACACCCAGCACAATCATTTCTTGAAATACCATCATTTGCGTGTCACTTAGCTCATTACAGGAGTAGTATTGTTGGTTATGGTGATATTGCTGCAGAATCATCAAAACCATCACACTCACCACCACCATCATCCACTATCACACCCACATCACCACCAACCACCACCATTGTCATCCACTATATCACCACCAACCACCATCATCTGCTACCACACCCACCATCATCAATACATCGCCGCCACCACCAATCACCACCATTGCCATTCACTACCACACCCACCATCATCAATACCATCATCAATACCATCACACCCATCACCATTCACCACCACAATGATCAACTACCATCCGTACCACACCAACCACCAGCAACATTATCAATACCATCACACCATGCCTGTAGAAAGTAGGAAGTTATGGAGCGACGCTACCTCCAAGCTCTAAAGGGCTAACTCCAAACCAAAATATACACTTGAGTAACTTGTGTAAATGTGTAATTCAAGAGTTGAAATATGAATTCTGGAGTTACTGGCTAACTTCAAAAATGATTTGGAGCTATATAAGTATACAACTGCAAAAATCATTTAGGAGCTAGGCATCTAAGGCTGGAGTTACTGGCTTACTCCAATAATCATTTAGAGCTACGTATAACTCCAAAAATCATGAAAAAACAAGGTATTTAAGCCTCGAGTTACTGCCTAACTCCAAAAAGTATGTGTATAGCGAGGCGAGTCAGCATATAGCCGCTAGGTACATACATGTAAGGTTGAAGTTACTTGCTGTGTTGCTAACTCCAAAAATCATTTGGAGCTTGTTATCTAAGCCAGGAGTTACTGACTAACTGGAATAACTGCAAGAACTCTCAGAATGCACTTCTATATTCCGCTGTATTAAATAAGACTGAAATATCCAGAATATGCGCATAAACAGGACATTGACACACTTGGCATTTTGCTCTCGTTCAGAGGCTAAATGTTGATGATCGTGTGTATAAGGCGGGCTCTGGGTACGTGAATGTGGCATAGTCTAGCTCCATTTAAAGATTGGCTACCTCCAAAAAAATAAAATCTACAGGTATGCATCACACCCATCACCACCACCACAATGATCAACTACCGTCAGTATCATTATCAATAGGTACCATCACCACCAACCGCCATCATCAACTACCATACCCACCATCAACTACCACCATTGCCATCCCTTGCACAGTTCACCCCCACTTATCACCATTGTAACTCTTTACAGGACTGGTATTGTTGGCTATGGTGAGCCAGCGACAGAACCCATATCATTCCTCGTTATCCTCATGATCTCCATTGGTCTTGGTTTACCCCTGGGGGTCATTCTTTTTGGAGGAGCTTGCTACCAAATTCGGAAACGCTGGAAGAAGTCAAAATTGAACACATCGTACGGAATAATCAATTAAGGTACACGATGATTTAGTGTAGAGTAAAAATATTTTTATACAATGAATAAACTTGAAATAAATTTTGAGCAAAGTAATTATTCATATCTGTAGAACAGATGTGAAATTTATACAATAAACTTGTCGCAATTACATGTCATTGTCACTCTGTCATTAGTATAGAAAATCATGCGATGGCGAGTACAATTAGGGATTGATAGTACGACTGATGTTTGGAAATGTGCCAAAATATATAAATTTTGTTGAGGCTAAAGTCGGCGGCTGCAGATAGGCAAGTAACCTGCAATAAACAGTAAAATACTTTCTTTTTATCTGCTCTACATACGTAAAAACGCACAAGTTGTAACAAACCTGCAACAGACTTGTGGCAATGCTGTTCCAACAACTTGTCAACAGGATGTGTTCGCACTGCTTGTTCCCAGCTCGTTGACAAGTTGTCAAAGGCTTGTTGACAACTTCCTACAAGATTGTTGAGCTCAACAGACTTGTTCCTAGTTGTCCCAACAATTTGTTATCGTCCTTTAATTCAACAAGTTGTGAGTGACAACCTTGTAGCAATTTGATGAAATAACAGCCTTGTTACAAGCTCGCTACAAGCCTGTTGCGAACACATCTTGTTGACAAGTTGTGAGATTTTTAAATTTAATGACAGCCCTGCTTAGTAAGTTCCATTTTACATCTCTTTCTATCTTATGCATTTCTGCCAAACAGAGGCAACTAGGCTAGTGAATTGTGAATTGCATTCTAAGCAAGCGTTATTCGTCAAAACCTAAATATCCAAGATTCTTGAAATGATGATATTATAATGCATCGAAAAAAATAAACTTTTGTATAATTTTAAAAATCTCGATTTGTGTTAGAACAATTTAATGGAAAAATAATTTTATAACATAAAATACTGTTTTTGCGCAAATAAATTCTACTTTAAGTTTTTACATCGAGGTTTTTAGCATTTAAAATAATTAATATACAGTATATACTTTCAGATATAGCTCTTATAACAGAACATTCACTGTGACATTGTCTTCATAAGTGTAGTTTCACATATAAGAAAGTTCCGGATTCATATGGATAGAACTACACACGTAACAATGCACAAGTTGTTACAGGTCTGCAAACAAGTTGTTACAAATCTGTTCACAAGCTGTCGACAAGTTGTGTTCGCACTGCTTGTTCCCAGTTGTTGTAACAAGTTTGGAACAAGCTGTTAACAACTTGTAACGAGCTTTGATGCCATTATCAGACTTGTTACAAGGTTGTTCTAACAAGTCTGATACAGTCATGATATAACAAGAACGTTACAAGGTTGACGACACAAGGTTGTAACAATATTGTGATGTCACGACTGTATCGGACTTGTTGGAACAACCTTGCAACAAGTCTGATAATATCAACAAGCTTGTTACAACTGTTGTTCCAAACTTGTTGACAACTTGAGACAAGCAGTGCGAACACAACTTGTTGGCAGACTAGCTTGCAACAAGATCTTTGCGTGTGTACCCGAAACATTCGAAACATCGAAGTTCTCCTTGTATTTGTCAGGTTGTTTTATTCTTATCAAATCCAAGCTTTCTTATTATTGGGACTAGCTACAGGATACTCTCACAGACCATTCGAGATTATTTCACACATATCTAGATAAATGTGGCAAACATACATTCACATATACAAATTAATATCTGGTAGCTTATTCGTTGTTTTTTTTATAAGTTATTTTTTCAGTTCAAATAGAACTGGTTTATATCGAACAAAAATGAGGCCTGTTTACACTGGCTATATTGTTATAATTTTTTCCTGCAAACCTGAAAATTCTCGTGAAATCACTGAGATTTATTTGATTACTTTGCCAATCTGTATTGTTGTGCTTTCCATCATTAAACATCGTTGCAAAGTTTCATCAAGTGGCCGACAGAAAACCATCTAATTAAGAGGAGA